CTGATTGAAACTCTTTTATAATTTAACAAATTAGGGCTTGTGCATGGGGCCGTTCAAGTATTACGTAAGCACTATAGGGGGGCGGGGGTGTTATTGATTTGCTATTTTGGGTGACATTTTGGTGACAGCTTTGCTTACTTTTGCTGACAAAGGGGGATGGGGGAGTAAATAATTGTACTAAATGTGCTTACGTAATACTTGAACGATCCCATGGGCTATGAATTTGGTTATATAATTTTTATAATTTTATTAATTAATTTATTAGCAATCAGAATTCGTGGTTCCATAAAACAATGCCACATACAATAAATTTCCTCTCTAATTTTTGTGGAGACTTGCGTGGGTACCAAAAGTAAGGTGACCCTGTTGATCTTTTGTGGCGGATTGTTCCGAGTTTTCGAAAAGTATAGGTTTAGATTCAGTATAGATCAGAAAACGATATATAATGTTAAGGTTTGTCGGGTTTTAAAAACCGGTTTTTAGCAAAAATTATGGTATTTGAAAACCGGTTTTTAGTAGAAAACAATCGGTTTTGACTGTATGAATGGAAAATGACAAATATAGCCAATTTTTTTTCAAGCGTTTTGATTCTTAGAATCACGTTAGGTTAAAACCGGCTTTCTGGTAAAATTGAAATTTGAAAACCGGTTTTCTAAAATGTCGGTTTTTGTATAAACCCTATATAATATGTTACAAGACGAATATGCTTATATAAAGCAATACTTTATGAATGAAAAAATTGTCAAATATAAAATTCCATAGGCGGATTTAAAAAGCCCTTCACGTTAATAAATCCGTACTTTTTAATTTAATTTTTAATTTTTAAATTACCAAAAATTTTGAGTGATAAACATGATAAACAAGTGCTAATTTTCTCAAATTAATTATAAAAAAATGCAAAGAAAAAAGCAAAAAAATCATATAGATTAAAAAATATAAAATATAATATAAATAAAAGAAGAGTATAACATATAATCGAATAATAATATTCTGACTATGGGTCCGTAATTCTGAATAAGAAAAAATGATACATTAAAAAAGAAAATTTGTTACTTTTAAATTTTATTTAAGTAATTGACCAGAATTTGTTTTTTTTTTTAATTTTATTTAAGTAATTGACCAGAGCTTTACCTCCCCTCCCCCAGTCTTAGATTACCATAACTAAAAATTACCGTCACGGTTGTCTATTCAAAAAATATGTTTACCTTACCAAAGGGTTCAAACTTTTTACTGAAACTATTTTTTATAATACTACTGCAATTGACATTTTTCTTGAAAAGAAAAGAAAATTGCCTGAACTGTCCAATATATTTGCATCTGATTTTTATCTGAGCTATTTATAACTTATACCGACTCACTTCGGGGATGTATAACATTAGAAACTTTTGCTGATTATTCAATTTTGTACAAATTTACCAAACGTAGAAGTTATTTTCGACAAATACTTTACATGTTATAAATTATTTACCAAAAAAGGAACAAACTGGGTGCAGGGTGTACCTCTTAAATGCGCATCTCATTATTTGAAGTTTTTATAAGTTTTTCAAATTAAACTGTTTTTTTTTTACTTTTAGAATGTTTCTTGAACTTGTGCATATCTCTATGAATGTTCCGTTAAATCTTCAAAAAAAATTCAACGATTAATAAAAGATGAGATTGTCTTCTTTTCTTTCAAGCGGGTAAAGAGTTTAATGATGATTTTAATTCAAAAATTTCTACGTACATATGGCTTTGGATGACAGTTATAAATATAACCATTTGAATTATCATATTCATGTACTTGAAAAATTGCTTTTGTTTTTTGTAGTAGTAACTAGTAGTAACTTGCCTGTAAGCTAGTCTTTTAGAAGTGGATTTTCTCAAGCTTCGATTTTTTGATTGATCATATTGGCATCTCCAGTTTGAGTTTAACTTGCTGAAAAACACCGCGCATATTGAAATAAATTGATGTGTTAATACAGACTCTCACGAGGCGGTCATAGAAAATAGGTGGACGTGCCGATAGATAAGATAGATGATCTATCGGCGACTGATGAGCGCGAACCGATCAAACATAACTAACGAGTATTGTACGATTGGCACTATGTTTTTTAACGGCCCCATTTTTTACAAATGAATAAAGATCAAAATTATAGTCAAATATATTTTTGCAGAAGTGAAAGTAAAATAAAATGTACATTACTGAATGTACATATTAAATTTTGTAATCATTATTTGCTTATTTTAACATGGTTTATAATTTCAAATAAATATTCTAAACTTTACTTGTTTTTTGGTGGTGGTTCTTTTTACATGCTGACCTTCAAGCCTACGCTACGTTATTTAATTGTTCTATATGATGTATTGTTAGTTTTAAGTTAGATTAAACAGGTTTTTATACAACCTTTATACAACCTTACACGTGGGCGGTTAAAAAGAACCAACTAAACCTTTACCCTGGCAAAGATGTAAACAATAAGTAATAGCAAATAAAATAGAAAATCAAGTTAAAAAAAGCAATTTTCCGGATCAAGATTATATACCTGTGTTATCCTTGTACAAAATGTACCCTAAAAATTTATATTATGCATTGATTGAATAATTGACATTGAATCTGTTTGTCACCTCGCTGCCCTATTTTACCCCGCCTGTGGGGTAAAAAGAAACATATACTTTTTCTGGAAAAACAGTAAAAAACGTATTTATATAATTAGGAATTATCTGGAAATTTTACTGAACATAGTTCGATAGTTGTTTGTTTGATACGTGATATGTATTATGATGTAGTTTGTTTGATTTAGACAGTATGACTACCTAGAGTCAAATTCTACCTTTGTGCCCTGTCCTACCATATATAATACTTATCCGCATGTTTATTTTTATACTAATATTTAATTTTTTAAATTAATAATTCAAAAATTATTAAGCTATTATATTTTTCATTTTAAAGAAATTATATGTAACAATATTATTTTGGGTTATCAACTAAATAGCATTGCTTATAATTTGTATTGTAGTTATTCAAGAGTTCAACAAAGTTGTGTTTATTTTAATTATCTTATCCAATATTTTTCCATTAATTTTTCTGGACTAGTATACACCATTTCTCTATATCTTATATTTCTATAAATTATTCAAAAGCATGTATGAGGACTTTTTCTAAATATTTCTAATTTTTAAGGAAGTTATGTCATATTTCTAAAAATTATTTAAAAGCATGTATTGGGATCTTTTTGTAAATATTTTTAATTTTTAAGGAAGTTATGTCAATCATACACTTTATAATTTATTTTCATACGTGTATGTGTTTATTAAAGTACACGTGCAAAGTTTGCTTTTAAAATAATTACACTTAATTATGAGAATTATTATAAGGGCTTTTTGATCAGATTCAGCACCCTATTATTAAGGCTTTCCACAAGCAGATATATAAAAATTTCCGAAGAGCAATTCAGCACAAATAACGCATCTTCACGGCTCGTGCACGTACTTAACATCTTGTTATATACGTAATTGTTAAGTATAATTATTGATATTTACTGTACGGCTACATCATCTTTATTATAGCACATGCTTAGTAACGGATATCGTCACTTATACCGTATTAAAATCAATTTTGTACCCTTTAATTTTGCGAGGAAATAACTATTCTTGCAGCTAGAAGTTTATATATATATATATGTATATATATATATATATATATATATATACTATATATATACATTATAATATAAAGATATAGCAGTTTTTGAGAGGGATCTAGGCACAATACAAATCTATGGTAAATTGGTAAATTTTTCAAAACAACTTTTAAAATCTCACTCGATTTGCTAGGCATGCCACAAATAATTTAAAAATGAATGTTCGAATTTTGCTTCATGATTCAGAAATTAACGAGTGAAAAGCGCAGTAATAATATATAAAATCCTTAAATGTCCAAATTTTCCAATTCAATCAAATCAGTTTCAGGTTAGGAATAATTATATAAGGCATGCGTTGCAGTGGGTAAACTATCTATTTAATTTGTATTCGCTGCGTTTTTTACCTTTATACCGCACCCTTTTGCATTCGCAATCAGTTAATTATTTTTTATACTGAAAATTTTCTGGAAATATTTTTTCATTGAATAACTTTTGCCGGACCAGCTAGTATGTATGTATATATATATATATATATATATATATATATGTGTGTGTGTGTATTAATATTATATGTATTACGAAGACAAGTATTATAAAACACCCAGATTTTTTAAAAACGTAAAAAACACTAAACTACTCTACACATAAAAATTTCAAAAAATGTAAAAAAATAAAATATAAAACGATTGAGATAGAAAAATCTAAATCTACTAAAACAATTAAAAAATTAAGGATAAAATTTTTCAAAAAGATGTGCAAAAACTTATTTTCTTCAAAAATATCTTTCATTCCACTACACATATAGAAGTTTTGCAAAGGGGATAATCTACTCAAAGTGACTATTTAAAAATTAAATTTCTATTTGAAAATTACAAACGGGCGTCAACAACCAACACAAAATTTGGCAATTCAATTAAAGTACGAAAAAGTACTTGCAATAACACCTATGGAAATTTTGTTAAACTATAAACAATAGTCACTTTTTCACGACAGCCTTCGAACTAGCAGATATTATAAAACATTTTTTGAGACTTTTGAAAAAATTGTATAGATTTTAAATTGATCATTTTGAAGTGATATAAACAACAAAAATATATTAAAATTTATATATTGAAAATGCATAAACATTTTCATCAATTTTATTATATTTTCTTGTGAAATGTATTGTTTTTAAATTATTTTGATCATTTACGGTTTTGCTGTTTTGATTTAAACAATCAAAAACCTAATAAAAAAATATGATCGCAAGTCGAGCGTGAATATTCATAAAAATGTTAGCAAGTCTCAATATAAAGTTTATAACATTCCGCTGGCATTAAGGCTATGGTTTTGGGTCAAATGCAACTACGACACTTTAAGAAGGAGGGTCGGATTGTTGACCTAACAGGCACTGCCCTTCCGGACCGGCTGAACCGATTGCTGCGAAGCGCTCTAAACGAGGGCAACCATCCCAATCGGGCCAAGGCGCCTATGTGCCTCTTTCCGGGGCTTCTGAAAGCTGTTCCGCGTGAATCGCCCCGGAACCAACCTCCGCGCACCACGGAGCCTTAGGATCACACGTTACATATTCCATTTAAATTTTATCAATTTTTCAAATAAAGTTAAACACCGAAAAAACATTGATTTTAATTTCATGAGAAAAAATGTCCCGTTTTAAAAAAAAAAGATAAATTAGCACACCATTAATATTTTGAATATACTCGTATTTTGAATGTAATATCAGTTCAAGTGCGATAAAATATTAGTTATTAACTTTACTCGGAGTTTGTACGATATCTTTTTGAATTAATTGAAATGTAATTTACTTAATAAATTTTTCAGTCAATGTTTAATCAACTTTTTATAGTAAATGTAATCAAACACTAAATCATTATAATTTTGGCTAATAATTGTTATATTTCACAATATTCTAATTGATTTAAGGGGTTACACCACTCTAGCAGTAAAACAAAACGTATGTTTTTCCATTTTTTTCGGACGGAAGGAATAGTATTAAAATCATGATATTAAAGATAGTTATTTATTGAAATTAAAAATGGCGGTACCACAGCCATTTCGGCGAGCCGCGTCAAAATCCGCGGCACGCAAAATAACTGCAACAATTTGATTTTTTTTTACTCGAATTTTTTACAGTATATTTAAAATTACATTTTTAAGTGCCCATCATAAGAGATCTTCTGTATGGTAGTTTGTTCATCCATTATTAACAAATTACTATCCGTTTTTTTTGTTGAAATTCAACGATTTTGAATAAAGTGCTCGCCAAACAAACAAAAATCGATATTTTTTAAATCCGCTATGATGGGCACTTTAAAATGTTATTTTAAATATGCTGTTGAAAATTCGAATAAAAAAAATCCAAATTGTTGTAATTATTTTGCGTGCCGCGGATTTTGACGCGGCTCGCCGAAATGGCTGTGCTACCGCCATTTTTTTTTTTTGCAATTATATTTTATTTTATTACTTTAAAGTACAATAAATAACTATCTTTAATATCATGATTTTAATACTATTCCTTCCGTCCGAAAAAAATGGCAAAAACAAACGTTTTTTTTTTACTGCTAGAGTGGTGTAACCCCTTAACCCTCTCGCTACGAGTGTAGTTTAAGGACGACATCCGCTCGACTATCAGTGTACATCAATTTTGTTCATGGAAATATGTTCTCAGCACAGATGCCGTCCATGGACGGCATGCTGCATATCGAATTTTGCTAGATTTATCACTATGAGTAAAACTTGGTAATACTATTTTTTGTTGTATTTTTTGTTTATTGAAAGCACAATTTTTAATTTTTCAACATATTTTTATCGATGATGATAGAAAAGTCTTAAAAAATATCGTTGTGCTGCTGCACACTGTTGCTGAAGTGACACTCCTGCGGAAAACACTCGTAACGAAAGGGTTAAAATACAAAATTGCTCAAAAACAAGCTGTCATTACAACTTGCTGCACGTATTAGGCATAACGAACAACGCGAAATATTAAATACTCATTACTATACAAATTGTTTTATTTCAAAAAGCAAAATCCGTATAAACAATTCTCGAATTTTTAGCTTTATATATTCTGTCGCAAAGTCATTTTTGACGTGGAATATTTCGATCTATCCGTGAATTTTTCAGAGGGATTTACTAAAAATACCAAAACGTGCACTGACTGACTTACCCAAAAATCTTTTTTCGGCACTGGGATATCCATTTGCGATGGCGTTCAAAAGCTCCTCGTAGTCGTCCGGCTCGTAGCGGGGTTCGTAGCGCGGTATATTGTTGTCCAATTCGTAATCCGATTGGCGTTTTTGACGCTTTCCTCCTTGAGCAGCGGCTGCTGTTCTTAAAGCCATTAATGGAGCTTCTTGCTGCAATAGGATAATTGTAATAACTAGAATGTTATGTTGATTCAAACGCATATAATCAAATTGTGATATGTATTTAGAAGATAAAACTCGGCTGCTTCTTGATATTTTTCAGGAAATGCAAATATAACTAGGTATAGTTACATCAAAAATATAATTGATTATCTATAATATAATTACTAAATGCATAAAATTGTTATGAATACAAATAATTTGTTAGATATTTTCATATAGAAACATACAATTATTTTGTTCAGAGGCCTGTCTAGCATTTGCAAATACTTTTTATATTGCATATTGTTCAACACTGTTGCAACATAGAGAATTGAAACTATATCCAATGTATGAAGGGAGAAAAAAGTTTAGGCAAAATAAATAGGTCAACTATGTTAAAACATAAAAAAATTTAAAGTTTTTACTAGGCAAGTTGTGTATTTTTGTCTGGTAGTCAAAATTCAAGCTCCTAATTTTCCATAGACATATTTTCATTGGGCTTTTAAATTTTTTTCTCTTTTTCATTTTAAATAATAACTTTTTATTTCAATTTGATTGAAGTTTGACTTGTCAATTTTACGAAGTCGGTTTGCATTGATTTAGTACCTAATTATGCAAAGTTTTTAAAAAATAAAGCTTTTTCAATATGGATCCGGAGCCTCAAAACCATTTGTAAACACAAGTTTTCTTGCAAAAATCTTTTGTATTTTCTTCACATTATTTCTGTTACACGCCTCTGCAGTATTTTATTGATTAACGTAAAACTTTTTTTGTTATTGACAAGTTAGTGGTAGTGCTAATCTACGTGCTTTATGTGCATATATTGATGTAAGATACCAAATTTTATATCCACTGATGATGAAATAAAATATTAAGTCGAAAAATTAGTAAAATTAAAGATTGAATAATAGTTTTGCCTTTTATTTAATATTCGGCTTAGAAAAGTATACTAACGTATAAAGTATATATTACAAACATAATTAACATATATATAGGGTAGGGCGAGGCACAAAGATCCAAATTGACTTTGAGCAATTATATTGTGAAAACCAAACCAATTGTAATAAGAATGAATCACAATAACAAATATCAAACAAACAACTATCTGATAACGTCCAGTATATCTCCCAGCTAAATTCATCATTGTAGAAATGCGTTTTTTGCTGTTTTTCAAAAATTTGTCATCCCATAAATGGGTCCAATGTCTTATTTTTAATTTTAAAGGTATTTTTATGAAATAATAGTTACATTATTCGACCAACGGAAAATATAAATTTTGTGGGTACATTTTTTACAAAGATAACACTGTATTTATCCTTGATTTAATATATTGTCAGAAATATTTATCAGCAAAATTGAATTATGTTCTCATGAATTAGGCAACAGTGCTCACAACCAAAACAAATAACAACGACGGAAAATACTTTTATTGTGGATACACTGTTGTTAAAAAAATATTTAACTTTACTTTTTTAACGGACATATATGCTTGTAAAATAGGCAAATCTGTTTACTATGGCACTTTATTTGAAATTTATGAATTTATATAAAATAAGATAGGAATTATGAACGCTGTCACAAGTTTATTCTAGTTTTCATCCTTATTACCATCCAGTGGGGTAAATTATTGTAATCATCCAATATCGAAATTGATCCATTTTTTGCATATCTTTACGTTTTTAAAGTTTCTGAACATTTTGGCATACCTCAGGAAAAATTCATGTGTGTGTGTATGTATGTATACAATTTTTTGACTACGTTTTCGGGCGCAGGGATCAACCGATTTGAATAATTCTAAAAACTTTGATTCGTACTGATGAAGAGACGTGCTGATTAGTTTTTGGCAAAGAGAGATCCAGCCGTTTTGGAGATACGGAGTAAAGGGTGCAGCAAATAAAAATTGACTTTTTGAGAGAACGAATCTAATTCTAATGATTCAAACAACATTCAATAATAAATTTTAAAACATTTAATATTCCTCATATATTTCCATCAATCTGTCTTGTGGCACAATGCCATACACCACTAGTAAACATCCCGCAAGGTAAGTTATAGTAATCGCAAAAATATCGAAAATGAAAACTTTTATTTATCTTTACGTTTCAAAAATTTTTGAATATTTTGGCATACCTTAAAAAAATTGATGTATGTGTGTGTGTGCGGAAACAAATTTTCGTCGACGGTTTCAGGAACACCGATCAACCGATTTGAGTAATTCAAAAAAACATTCTAGTCGTATTGATAAGGAGACGTGCTGATTAGTTTTTGGCGAAGGCAAGTCTAACCGTTCCAAAAATACGTAGTAAAAAGTGCCATAAACGGTAACTCAGTTTTTAAGAGAATGGAGCGTCCGATTTTAATAATTTAAAAAACATTTTACTTGTATTGACAAGATGAAGAACTGAATAAATTTATGGGAAGGTAGGTCCAGCAGTTATGGACTCTTAATAAAAATAATTTAAAAAATGTCATTTAGCGGTCAAAAATGTTTATTGGACATATTTACATCAAACTATCAGATATTTCATAGAAATTTTAATAATGTGTATACATTTTGTGTTTTTTTGGGTTCCGTACCAAGATTTTTAATTACGGTACAGACAGTTCCGGCAACTTGCCTTAAGGCACGATGCCATGCACCTCACTAGTTTTAGTTCTCTATTAAGTAACGTATTTAAACGGTACTGATATTATTTACCTCTGTGGAAGTACTACGCTTGCCTACGCGTGTTCCGGAGGGTGCGGATCTGTCGCGAGCAATAGTAGCTACGTTTCGTTTATCACTAGAAGGTCCCGAAGTGCGTCTCAGAAGCCCTTCGCGGACGAGAGAAGCCAGAGATCGCTTTCCGTAGCGCGGACGTGGTAATTCGAAATTACGGGCCAGGGCTCCCAAGTTTCGTTTTCCTTCTGTGACCGAACCTGCAGGAGCTCCACCATAGAAATCGCTAGGTCCATGTCGCGAAGAACCCTCGTCACCTAGTAAACATCAAATAATATACAATCTTTTTAAATGTAAAAACAATGTAAATTAACTTAATAGTACCCATAGTTTTGTCATAGGGTAGGGCGGGGCTAGTTGAGCATAGGGGCAAGTTGAGCAATCGAAATATCTCGAAAACTATTCACCGTCCGTTTAGGCATTATATGGCGGAAAGATAGAGGTTTGGGAGAAATAAACATCCCGCGATCGCTAGTGGCCGCTGGACAAATGAGTGAAGCCACGGGCGTTTTGTTTATTTTGAGACCAAAAAGTAAAAATGTAATTCATCACGAGTTTTCGTCTGGTTTAGTCAAATGTTATTTATTTTTAATCAGATAAATGTTATTCTTCCATATAATTATAGTACTTTTAATATGCACAGAGATTCTGTGTATGATTCTCACGTTTTTTTTTATAAACTCACTTTTATTTTGAAATTCCGAGTTGGGGTTAGTTGAAAATAGTTGCTAAACTTATTCTGTCACTAAAATAATTACCATTAACTTCCAGAAATTAATTATTATTTTTAAGATTTAAGCTAAGTCTATGAGTAATAATATAAAGAAATGATGATTTTAAACAAAAATACTGAATATAATGGTAAAATAATTCCTAAGATACGATATTGTTTTGTTGATTCTACTTTTGGTTAATTATTCAAAGAAAATTACTATAAGTTTTGTTTTCTCTGTCAATAAAGACTATAAATATAGAACTGGTTATTAAAAACTTATTTTATTTCATCACTAATCGACATTGAACCTATAATTTTATTATACTTTCTTAGTGCTCAACTTGCCCCACCTATGGGGTACATTGAGCATACTTGACTTTTTGCATTTAAACAGCTTTAGCTTTTAAATTTTACTTATTACCAAAAAATAGTATTATCACTTTTGTTAAGCGATAATCAACAAATCCATTAAACCGTATAGCAATTTATTGAGACTTTTCATTGAGAAGCTACATCCGTTTAAGTAAAAATTTGCTCAACTAGCCCCGCCCTACCCTGTATCAATCTTTATTGCTTGATTTCATATATCTATGAACCATGTATAATTGAACTTACCGGCATCATCATAATAGTACACAGGATCGTGTGTAATAACCGGCAATTGACCATTTTTAGCCAAAGTTGCAATTCCTCTTTTTGGAACTGGTAGAATGCCACCTCTTGCTAAAGAGCTCACTGATCGTTTATCGTTTGATCCTGACCATTCTTCATTCGTTGTATCATCTAGTAAATGCTGAGATACAGGCGCCAGACCCATGTCCAGGATACGCATCAAGTTATGACGCAATGCTTGTACCTGAATAATATTTTTGGAAACAAAGTTTTGTAAAAGATGTTACACATACTCGTATATCAATTCCATTTGTTCAAATATAAATCATAAATAAGATAATATTCTTAAATAAATCTTTAGTAAAGTAAATCTTTTTGACTTATTGAAATCTTGGGCTCGCTCGTGAGTTAGCGGTTAGAACTATGGGATTCGAATCAGAGGTCCCAAGTTTGATACCCGCATCGAGCAGTCTAAATTCAAGCAGTATTAACATCGGTTTTCACTTGGAAATTTAGATAGCAATATGTTTCCGAGTGAAAATAGCCCTTAATTGGTATTGCTGAATCAGTAACAAATTCATCAAAAATTCATTTGCAGAGATTATAAAATACTATACATTATACAAATGATACCTATATACGAAAAATGAATCTAATATATTAATAGAATCGTTTTGCAATAGAGCTTACACCAAAATTTGCACTATAAATTTGTTTTAATGTAGTAATCTTACATCTTATATTTGATGTCAGTTTGTTATTTTTTTGATGGTAACTGCAAATTCCTATTATAAAATATTTTCGAAATAATATTATATATGCGTCTTCTTAGATTTAAAGTAAGTACAAATTATAAAATACTAAAAAAATAGTTCAAATAGTTTCGTTATCGTAATATGGTTGAGCGGGGCTTAAAGATCCGCGGGTGAAGATGTCTACAAATATCTCAAAAACAAGTAAGTAAAGTTTTTTTAACAACAATATTTGAAAGTAGAAGGAAAAAGATGTATAACCAACCTTCAATTTGATTCTTACGATGTCGCTATCAGGAGATAAACAGCAATGTTTGAAAATCCATAGCAAAAGTTTTTAGTTTTTTTGGTCGTGTGCACTGTTGTTTAGTTAACAAGACCTTAATTTAATTTTTAAGTCTACTTTATTTAATTGTTTTATAAGATGTATCGTTAATTTTAAGTTAGATTCAACAGATTTATTCATATTTATTTATTCATATCCTCTATTAAAGCTTACACGTGCGTGGGGTAAAATGGACCAACTAAACCTTTACCCAGACAAAGGTGTAAAAAATAAATAATAGTAAATGAAAAAGTAAGTTAAGTTCAAAAAAGCAATTTTACATAAGATAAATTGAACAAATAGTTATTCCAACTCCACTGATGAATATTTCTAACAAAATACCATATCGCTGTAAAAAAGTACCCATAAAATTTATTTTTTGCGTTGGGTGAATAATTTAGTTGTTATTTTCTGAAATCCCTTTAAAATTAAAAATAAGATTGGCTATCCCATTTTACGCCGCCTATGGAGTAAAAAGAATCAGTTGACAAATTTTAGGAAACAGCAAAAAAACATATCTATACAAGGATTAGCTGAGAGTTTTACTGAACATAGTCAGATAATTTGTTTGATGTGTGTTATTTGATGTGATATAATTGGTTTAGTTTTTACAATATAATTGCTCAAATTGAATCTTTGTCCCCCCCTTTGCTATACGCATTTGTTTTTTACACTTTATTTATTTCTATTTCAAATGCTGATATTTTCATGTTCTATTACAAAACTCCAAACCGCCACATAAATAATTTGACAGTGGTTTTTCTGATTTACTTATATCAACATTATTACTCTATTCTGATAACTATAATAACTTGACGTATTAACAATACCGCCTAATAAGCAATTGTAATAAAGTATCTATACTGAAGACAATAAGAGAAATCTTTCCAAATCAATCACAAACAATCGCCTTAGCGTTTTCTTCTCCAGATTGTTCTATTTAGAAAGCGCTTCTGCAATATAGACATAATCTGTTCATCTTTTGTAATAACAGACAAAGTCAAATCATTAAATCTCTTATTGCGAAAGAATCATAATAAGATAATAAAAGCTAGTATTTGCTTTAGGCCCAGTGTTGTGTGTAAGCTTGATTAAGAATATGTGTCGTGCCATCAACGTTTTAATTACAACATCTTCCTTAATCAAGGCTATTATAATGAGGTCAATTCGAGATTAAAAATGATAGTAAAATTCCGTTTGTAATCCACACATTTAATAATATGTATAAAATTAATGTAATTGACATGAGTTTATGTATTCATATTTATATAATTATATAAAAATAGCACACACGCGTTACGATAATTTAAATAGTAACGGCAATAAGTACAGACATAAAAATAGACATTTTTAAATATCCATTGTTATTTTTATTATTATTATTATTATTATAGATCAACAAGTTGTTGCAGCAATAACACGAAAGACTAATTTCACCTACAATCATATTTGATCCATATAACCTTAAGTGTTATATCACTGTTCCTTGATATCTAATTGACCGAGGTCTTGTGTCGATTGATTTTATTTATTTTAAACTGCACTTACAAATATAAATCTATATGATTACAGTAATTTTGATTGCCAAAACAATTTATTACTGCATATACTCTATTATTTAAAATAATTGTTGTAGATAGACACTAAATTAGGTGAAGCTGTTCGTGCAATTATTTGTGTCTAACAAATTCACACTATTTATTTTCTAAAAGTAAACAAAAATATTATTAACTAAAAAAATGTTTCATCAAAAGTTGGCGCAGGGTTGGTAAAATGATAAAATACTTTATATATATATATATATATATATATATATATATATATAATATATAAATAGCCTCTCAAAATTGACTGTATTTAAACATTTTAATTTTATAGTTCAGCAAAAAATCTTAATTCTTAAAAACTTGGGGTAATTATGTTATTATTATATTTTTGACTGTGGTCCTAGAAATGTTATTCGCGGTTACATTACAAAATTTTAAAAAAATAACCACAACAACCGAAAAATGGTCATAATTTTACCTTCTAGATTGCACTTTAAGCTTATAATTTTCAAACAACGTGAGGTAATATTTTTTTAAATGTTTTATATATATATATATATATATATATATATATATATATAAATTTCTGTATATACATATGTTAAAAATGACCAATCTATATTAGAACCACAGGTATTAGTATAAATGAATCATATTATTAAGAATATTAACAAAAAGCAATATACTTGTATTTAACTAAATTGATTGTCATGTTAAGATTGTATAAATAAAATTCAATTTAGTATATTATTACAAACCAATGCCTCTCATTACTAGAATATAATATATTCAATCTCTAGCCTCTTGTCGAGGTTCATAAAGGAGAAATTGTAAATTTAATATGGCTTTAATATCACCTCGCCCCTAATGTAAACCTGCGCCGGTTGCTCTCCGAATCCTTAACACAAATGTAATTAGAATGTCTTGAATTTATCCATAATAAGTGTACCAATTAGGATGGTAATTTTATTCGTATTAGGCTTAAGTTGTTCGGAATTATGAAATGAAAAGGTCCTTGATTACGAAGACTTTAGTCTGAGAACGGTTTATTGATATTCCACGAAATCTTTCTTGGTTCATTGAATTAAATATCAAAATTCAAACGCCTAATTGAATTCAAGTCAAGCGTATAGGGAACGTGATATTACAGAATATATATATATATATATATATATATATATATATATATATATATATACAGGGCCGGTCCTGCCTTGAATGCAATGCATGCAAAAAATGCGGGCGCACGCCTTAGGGGGCGCCAAAACGAGGTTCGGAAATGAAATTTATAATATATTATTTATATATTTTTTTTAAATATAAAATCTAGAATACTTAATAGATTATAATAAACAATCCAATTAAACTATGGGACACAAAAAGCATATTCAGTTTGCAATGTGGTATAAAAAGAAACAATTAACCAAATAGTAACAATGCAAATTTGTAAATAATTGTTCTGCTTATTGTACTTTTAAATTTTTTTCTTCGTTTAAAATTAACGTGGAATCGAAAATGAAGATATTTAGTGTTTAATCCCATAAGAGCAAACCTACGATTATTGGGCGTTATTGGTGAAAAATTGTGAGCTGATTTAGTTGAAATTGAACTTGTTAAAGAAATATATACTAATTATAGTAGACAAAATAGAAAATGGGGAGTGATTGCCCAAAAAATGACTTGTTTATTCCGAAAATTGAATTGTAACTTTTGTTTTTGTTGCAAATATTTCACATCTGATGAACTTTGAACGTTGAAGACATGCGTGGTTAGGTTTATGGAGCAAATATGAAAAATGGAAGCAAAATGTACTTAGGAACAAAAGTCTTTAAGCTTTTTTACACATAATTTAATTATTCACTATGCAGAAATAATACAGATACAAATATAATTTGTTTGTTTCAGTATAGTTTAGGGAATATGTAATTTCTTTGCATCTTTTACTAATCGTTGGTCAACACTTTAAAAAGTTTAACTTTAAAATAACAATCTGATACTCTGAATCTGATGGGAAAGTAAAGCTAAATACAATTCAGCCCTTACGATACCAATAAGGAAAAGTTTACAATTCAATTTTAGATATCGTAAATAATGAAAATATAAATTGAAATAAAATTTAATTTAAAACATGAAATGCGAGTGTTTTATGTTTAAAAATTAAAGTCTAGTCTTTTTTGCTCTTTTGGCGTGATTTGCTCTATAGAATAAATCGCATAATAAATAAGTTAAATATTTCAAAATCCCAAATATTAATATTACACCTACGTTAGAAATAATTGCGAATTTAAAAATATTTGATTACTATCAACCCGCGAATCGCCTCGATTTTCTAACTAAATTTAAAATCAATGTATTTTATACGCTTATACGTTTTATTTTATACGATTATATCTAATTTTTTGTGTACTAAACTGTGTGTAGAAAAACCCAGAATGATTAAAAATTAATTAAAAAAATTAAAGTAAATGTTTATATAATTTTAATGAAAAACTGTTAAAACAGTTAAAATTATTGGGGGGGGGGGCGCCTGAACAAGTCTTGCATGCGGGCGCTGAAGACCCCAGGACCGGCCCTGTATATATATATATATATATATATATATATATATATATGTATAATATACATTGTATATATATATATATATATATATATATGTATATATATATATATATATATATATATGTATATATATATATATATATATATATATATTAGGATATATTAGATGTTTTATTGGTTGCACCAACCAATAAAATAATTATGATCAAAATTTTATATAAATGTTACTCAAATACCAAATTAGATACAAAGCAAAATATTATAAATATTTAAAAACAAAATGGAAGATAATTTTAGTGAGATAAGTTTAATAGAAATTCAGAAGAATTAAATGAAAATTTGTTTTAAAAAATGAGCAATATACAAAAGGACTTTACATATATGTTTTTCAAGTTTGTTTTTCTGGATAGCTAACATTATTAATGATTTTATTTTTCCGAACAAAAAACCTCCTTTTTTCTAAAAAATATTTATATCATTTTCAAATTATAAGTTTTTTCTAAGTTTGAAAGATATGGAAGGTCTCCTCGTTCGGGAGCTATGTATGTATAATTAACTTCCCGAAGGAGTTTGTTTTTGCCAAAAAATATGATTGGCTAATTTTTGTTTCTCGAAGTTTCAAGCCATTCTGAATCAAATGAGACCAAATTGAACAATTACACATTTACATATGTAATAATTTGATTACATATTTCGAGAAGTCCTTTCCAATGCAAAATGGCATTTTCAATTAGTTTTATATTTAGTTTGTTATTTAAAAAAGTTAAAAATCTTTCAATTTTAAAAGCAGTAATTAAATTATAGCAAGAACAGTAATTAAAGTTTTTACAGTAATGAAAGTAAGTAAATATATATATATATATATATATATATATATATAAATAATTTTCATTCATATATATATATTTATTTATATATATATATATATATATATATATATAAATAAATATATATATATGAATGAAAATTATTTATTCTTAATAGTTCTTAAGAAAGAGCGATGTCCCATATCCTCAAAATTTAGAATATATTTATAATTGAAATAAAAATAATACTATGAAACATAAATAAACATTGAAATATAATAAATAAAAATATGAAATAAATAATTTGTTTGTAAAAATAATTGTTCGTTCAGTAAAATATAATAATGTCATAAATGAAATGGTGTGTAATTTTACTTGTTTGTTTTATATTTTCAGTATATTTATATATTAGTTATAACATTTTTACACGCATATATATATATATATATATACGTGTCTATAATAATATACCTGTAAACTATTTCTTTCGGCAGGTGTAAGAAGGTTAGACAAAAGATTTTCCACCTCACATGTAGAGAGTAAACCTTCTTGAGGCCGCACCTGAAAAAAAAACATTATTTTTGCGTAATTAATTTTGCAAAGTTGTTACATTGTTTGAGATTAAATAATAAATCTTCTGAAGAAGATAGAACAAACGCGTCTAATAATTAAAAAAATAATTATTAGATTTGTCAAGAGTTGCAATGTTCTCTCATATTTTTAAGTTATTGCAGCAACACCGTTAAGAGATATTTTTACTTACAATTAGAAACACATCCTTAATTCTTGAACTGTATTTTAAGTTAATTTTATTAGTCATTTGTATTTTTTAGAGCTTTAGTTTTTAAAACACTCGCATTTGATGAACTGTATATCAGTAGTACTTTGTTATATTGTTATAGTTTGTATTGTTATGTAGTTTAGCTACGTAATCGATATCTACTACTATAGGGAAATTACTATATTCATAAACATTATATAAAAATATAAAAGCGTATAAAATCATAAATTTATTCGCCTGAATTAATACGACGTAAGTTTATCATTCGAAAGACGTACTGCGTGTTGCGTTTTTTCGGGCATAATTTTGTTGTAACGTATACAACTTTTCGATTTGGGTTCGAATTGAATAAATACATTTCTTTTCATCAATGCAAAACTTATATGAATATTAATATACAACAACATTGCAGTTTAATGACAAATGCGCATCTAAAAATAATTATTCTTATTCAAAGATCATCGTAAATGTTTAAGATATCTTAATTATTAAAATATTTTCATAAAATCTAACAATAATAAAAATTATTAGTTGGAACAACTTTTAGCATATATATATTTCAATGTTTTGTAAAAAGTGAGTTTAGAACAGTTCTTTTATATAATCTCTATAAAATTTACATGTGGGTAGGGTAAAAAAGACCGTCTGATCTTTTACACTGGCAAAGCCGTAAATAATAAAAAATAGTAAATAATAAAGTAAATTAAATTAAAAAAGCAATTTTACAAAAGATAAGGTAAATTAATAGTTGTTATCTTAGTTAACTCTGTTGCTGATTATTTATGGCGAAATACTAGATCAAGGTTATATACAGTGTTATCCATGAAATTGATATTTTACATTGGTTGAATGATATAGGTATTTATTTTTAAAATTACTTCAAAATGAAAAATAAGACATTGGACCTGTTTGCTTTCTGGCTGTCTCGTTTTTGGAAATTTTTTGGGACCACCTGTTTTGGAAAACAGCAAAAAATATATTTTCTTGATAATTAATTAATTAACTGGAAGTTTTACTTGATGTTTAATAAATTAACTGTAAGTTCTACTGAACATAGTCAGATAGTTAATTTGTTTGATATACGTTATTTGTTGTAATATAATTGGTTCGGTTTTTACAATATAATTGCTCAAAATCAAATTGGACCTTTGTGCTCCGCCCTATCCTGTATATATATATATATATATATATATATAAAGTTACAAATCTTTTATAGTCTCTATGCATGTTTATAGATTTTACTTTCAATTTCACCAAATTGTAAATCGAAACTTATGGTAACATGAAATTTTCAATTTCAATCTCATGTCTTTGATTTGTTTGTATATTTTTTCAACTAACTTATATTATATTATATTATATATATATATATATATATATATATATTATATATAATTTATTATTTAAATACACGTTATGTAAATGAAATAATTTTCTTTCAAATCTTTAATTGTGATTTACACCTTCTTGTTACCAACAAGAACCAACAGACAATATAGAAATGTAAATTATGGATCCAATTACATTTGCAATGATGCATTGTCTCTTATGCTCCGAATTCATAATATTATGGTTCAATGGGGTACATGACCAGATGATGGCAACCTTAGAAGGAATTTCTACACTAGCTTCAAAATTAAACTTGATTACACGTTATTAACCACTATCGAAAGAACGTTAATACCCACTATTAAAATAAAAAAAGTCTATCATAATAAAATTATCAAATTATCTCTTAATTACTGATACAAAATCAATATATATTGTGAATTACAAAATTGATATTGAAAAAAATCAATTTGCCGAGCGGTGTTTTAATTTATTTTGAACTATCTAAACCTTATATAATATAATTTAATTAGTTAATAATATTAACTGAAGAATAATATTTCTGGCGGTGACTAAATATTGTTTCCTTAATAATCATGAGTATATTTACCTATTGTATGTATATAAATGCAAATACATACAATATAAATGTATTAGATATTTTAATTTGAACTATATTGTACCGCAATCAGAATCAAAATAAAAGATTAATTTAACATTTTTCTCTTTGGTTTGTTCTTAAATATTTTTCTACTTGTAAAACTTATGCTCTAATGCTCATTGTCACGCTTTTCAATTGCTTTTATCTTTCAGCAAAAATCGCCTAATATCTGCATTTATTTTCTATTTTTTCTTCCATTACGTCATAAAGAAGATACTATTTTTTCATTATGGAATTGTGCTATTTTTTATTTATTATATTGTTATCTGTTATTTGCACAATCATCTCTAGTAGAGTCCTTTCCTTTTTCATTATTTGATGTACTTTTGCATTTGTTACCTTGTCGGTTAATTTTAGCTTTATATTTCTTTTGCAGCACAATATACTGAAAATTTTTAGGTAGTACTTGGCAACATTTCTTCGAATCTAGGTTTCTGATACTTTCAGAAATATGCAATGCTGCAAATGTAGCATTTTATTGGTTTCTAGACAGTCTAGACAAACAGTAACTGTCAATTGTTATTGTTTTTAGTTAATTTACATTATTATTAACTTCCCGTAGGGTAAGTTATTGTAATGGGCCGAAAATCGAAATTGAAAATGTTTACATTTTTCGACGTTTCGAAGGTTTCTGAACATTTTGGCATACTTCAAAAAATGGATGTGTATGTGTATGTGTGTGTGTGTTTATGTATGTATGGATACAATTTTTCGTCCACGTTTTCGGGCGTATGGATCAACCGATTTGAATGGTTCAAAAACCATTCGATTCGTATTGATAAGGAGACGTGCTGATTAATTTTTGGCGAAGGCAGGCCTAGCCGTTCCGAAGATACGGAGCAAAAAGTGCCGAAAACGGTAACTCAGTTTTTAAGAGGACGGAGCGTCCGATTTGAATAATTCAATAATCATTTTATTTGTATTGACTGAATAAAGAACTGTTCAAATTTTTGGAAAGACAGGTTCAACGACTTTGGAGATATGAAGAAAAAGTAAAAAAATGAGCCATTTGGCGGTCAAAAATGAACATTAGACATATGCACATCAAATTATCAGATATTTTATAGGGATTTTAACAATAAGTATAAATTTTGTTTACATTCCTATGGGTTCCGTACCAATGTTTACATGTTAGACGGCGACGCGGCGCTTACGCGCTTTTATATTTCGTTTTTATGCAGTACGATTTCTTTGAAAAAAAGTTCATAATTTCCAAAATATTTCAAAATAAATGATTTAAGATAGAATGATTTAATATGGTTCGAAGTTCTATTAAAAGTTTCAAATCATTGATCAACTTTTATTGATTATTATTATTGATTATTTTTAATTACTCGAATTTTGAATTGCGGTACGAGAAGTTTCAGCAATTTGTCTTAAGGCACGATGCTCTAATTGCCTTAAGACAGAATTCCACTTACAGCTAGTTTAATTTTTCAAATTAAATATTTTTTATTCTTTTGCACCAACATGGTTGTTGTTGAAGTGTTATTTTCATTGAATATATTTTTGTGTTATGTCACAAAATAATTTGTGTGTTTTATTCACTGAAGAAGAGTCAAACTTAGACTGTAAACGTGTAAAATTTAATTTAAAATAATTTTTAGAAACATAGTTTAGTTGTTTTTTTTATTATCTGGATGAATGCTTGTTTAAGAAGTATTTTGTTTTCTATATAAATATAAATATATATATATATATATATATATATATATATATAAATTCATTTTTTCTTCAATAATAAAATATCATTTTATATATTTAGTGAAACGCCGACCCAAAGGTGGCCGACCGCTGGAATGGAGTTATTATAGTAGATTTTGCGCGTGGCATATGGAAATCATTCGAGTTAACAAGATAAATTTATCAGATGGCGACTGAAACGTCATAGCGTCATATTACCTCGTAAGATTTATAACGTTTACAGCGCTTCTTTTGTTCAAAATTTATGTTAAACTATAAAGTAGAAACATTGATAATTTTATGATATTATTAAAGCACTTAAACCTGAATGTAATCTATATTTCATTATTTTGTTACGTTCAATTTTTTTATGGTAAGCTGTCAAGATCAAAATTAATTTTTAACTTCTCGTATAAGTTATACATAGTAATCGCAAAAAAATCGAAAATAATAACTTTCTATTCGTATTGATGGGGAGACATGCTGATTAGTTTTTGGCAAAGACAGATCTAGCCGTTTCGACGATACAGGGCAAAAAATGACAAAAAAGTAATTCAATTTTTGTGATAACAAAGTGTTCGATTTGAATGATTCAAGAAATATTTAATTTGTATTGACGAAATGAAGAACTGATATTTTGTCTTCGACTGCTTTCAAAAAAGTTCAAAATTTTCAAAATATTTTATGATGTAATGCACCACTAGTTGATGCTGCGATCATTTTAGAATACTTTACAAAACATTGATACCTTCGTGTTTATAGTATGTGTATGTATCTAGGGACTTTTCATTTAAGTAAGATATGCTGAATCAATTTCAATGGTTCAGATACAAAAAAGTTGTATTGGCCATATATGAGCTTATTACTTCATGATAAAGAGTCCAGCCATTTTTGGAGATTGATATATGTTGAATAATATCAGCATTAATTTGATACGCAACTGCAGTACACACTTCCTTGGTTTATATGCTATTCAAAATTTCATTAAATTATAATGCTTAGTTGGCACTTAATAGTAACAGTCTCAATAATAATAAAAATTCTTCGATAATAAAACAGATTTTCATTAAAAATATTTTTCCCGCATAAAATTTATGTGTCATTATAGACATATTCAAAAAAGGTTAATAGGCTTATATTATAATACCTGTATAAATGGCTATGTATTTAGGGTATTAGACTAGAGCGTTCGCGAATTTTTCATTCATTCATCATTTATCGCAGACAATATTTGACGACATAAAATATATCATCAATCATTACGGTTCACGTGGGTAGTGTTCTGATATACATCATCGATTTGGTATTAAGATGTCTGGAATGATTTAAGTAGGGTCGAGTTTCATTATCATTCACAATGGTCCTT